CACACACACACACACACACACTCTTACCTCCATCTTGTCCATCATGTCAAAGAAATGAGCCGACTGCAGAAACACAAACGGGGTCAAAGCTGTTTATTTGTGTCTGTTGGATCATTTACACTTAAAAGTTCATTTCTGAGGATTTTTCTGGTTTGTTTGAACCTGCTGAGGTTCCTGTTCAGCTCCATGTGGCCTGAATGACCTAACAGTTCATAAGTTTGTGGAAATATTGGCTCTGTGCACCCCACAGTGGATCCATCCAGGTGTGACTGGCCTTCAGCTTTAATTTGAAGCATTTAATTAAAGTGTTGCATTGACGGTTGAAGGCAGGCAGGTAAAACATCATCAGAGTGCTGAACTTGTTGCTGTTCACTGAAATTCCTCATATGACCTCCAAAGAGGGTAAAGAGATTAGCTCTTATCTGTCAGCACTCTTCCTGAGGGCTGTGTGTAACACTCCCACAGATGTGTCAGATCCATGCTGATGGAAAACAGCTTCACCCGTCTGACCAGGTCAGGAAGACTCAGGTCAGACAGAAGGTGCAAACCTCTGGTTACACTCAGGAACATCTGCACAGGTCTGAAAGATGAAACCAGGATGAAGCTGGAGCAGACTGATGAGGAGAAAAGATCCCATCATCTGTCTGTCGAGCCTGTACGGCTGCAGAGGGCTGGTGTTCCTGGGTGAAGCGGGCTGTAGCCTCTGCTCCGTCACACGGAGCGTCACAGCGCAGATGGAGGCTGAGAAGCTTCTCAGGAGTTTCTCACCATAAAGAAAAGAGCTGATCTCAGGTCAGCAGCTTTTCTGTGATTAAAGTGAGGCCAACCCTCCAGCACAGCAGCTCTCACTGCCATCTTTAGACCTTTCGCTGCTCATCTCCACCCACTCCACCCTGCCTGCTCTGCCTTCTCCGCTTCTCTTCACTGTGGTGGTGCACAGAGGCAACATTACAAGGACCTGCTGTCGTGGTGAGACGGTGACTCCGTCTGAACAAAAGTTGTTAAAAACATAAATAAACAAAAACAATGTTTCTGATTCCTGCAGCTCATTAAAACTGAAAGCGATGTGAAAGCAAAGTTCATGAAATGTGCAGATGAAAATAAATGGCTTGTTACCTTCATGGTGGGGGGTGCGGTGCGGGGCGGAGAGGGGGGGGCGTCAGCCACAGGAACATTGGAGATGGCGAGGAGCTCCTGTTTGCTGAAACACAGGAAGAAGCACGAGTGAGCCGACCCGGCGGCGCCGTCGTCAGAGCACGCCAGCGTCACAATAAAGTTTCTATTCAAGACAAACGGAGCTGTGATTGGTCCAGCAGCCACACCACCCAACAGGTGAGAGGAAAGGTGAGAAATGTGTTCGCTGTTAGGAAAACCTTCAAGCTTCATCGCGGCGGCAGAAGGCTGAGCGGTAACTCCTTTGCTCTCACCCAAAAGGCTTCTTCAGCTCTAAAAGTCTTAAGCCATCAGTGGGAGCAGGTCACCATGTGATCACTGGTCACACGGGTCACAGTGTGGGTGGGCTTAAATCACCTGGAATGACCTCAGGACTTCGTTATTTATATTTATTACTTATAGTTAAAAGTCACTGATGCTCCTGTTTGGTGTCCAGCAGCCTCACCTGT